ATCTCCAAAGCCTCTGAATCCCTCAGGGTGCTCTGAAGCCCGGCAGCCTCCTGTCCTCCTCCCTTGCGCCCTGCATTTTGGGGACAGCAGCGGGGCCCTGCCGTGTGCTGGCTGTTGTGGTGGGGACACCTACCTGCATTCACAAAGAAACCCACATTTTATTGGGACAAGTTTGGATCCGGGGAGAAACCTAGAGGAAAGCGTCAGCATCGTTCTCCTCTGTTTTATTTGATTTTTATTTTTTATTTTTTTTTTTTAAAAAGAAAGCTGTCCATTTCCTGGAACAGGCTGTTTATTTTTTAATGAGGTAGTTTGTTTCCATTTGGATAAAAGGGGAAAGACAAAAGGAGACAGAGGGTAGGGAAGGACCCAACGGGGACCCAAAAGGGACGAGGTGGTCCCTGCGGGGACCCTGCCCCTCACATTTCTCTGCAGCGTGCCTAAACCCCAGCCCAGCATGGTTTATAGAAGAGCAATTTGATGTCACTTTCTGTACCCGCTGCATGTTTGTGTGGCTGTGCCTGCAGAGCACCAAGTGCCTCCAGAGTACTTGCCACTGGGAGCAGCAGTAAATATCTCTTTTCCCCTGACTGCGAGATAAAGGCTGTGCCTTGCTTCGTTTTCTCACGTGTTTGAGATGAGAAGCATTTATTGACTCACTGGGAAGTTCAGGGAAGGAACGAGCATCCTTTCTTTGGGAAGCTCTGCTCCTGCTGCCGACCCAGCCTCCTGTTTCAGGACTGAGCTCCTGGAGGCCGACGCACAGAGCTGGTGGGATCTTCAGGAGGGTTTCCATGGATTTGGGTGGAAAAAATACACCTGGGTGCAGGTGGAGCTCCTTGCTGGTGGATTTCCCCAAATACTGTGTGTGTCCCAGGTGAAACGTGTCAGCCGGTGCCACCAGTGCGCCAGCAGCTGTCTGGTTTGGGTTTGGAGATCTGTGCCTGAAAATTGGGTTGCAGGATCCAAGGTAGCTCACAGTAGGGCCGCCTGGATCCCTCCGTCAATGCCCTTCCACCCCTCATTACCCCGTGGATGGCACACGCAGGACAAAAGGATTTGGCCCTTTGCTCATGGGCGTTGGGCGAGATCCCCGCGGGCTCATCTCCCCCCGTGCTTTGTGCTCCTTTTTTTGCTGCTGCTGAAGGCTACCAGCCTGTTCCCGGAGCCTCGTTCAATGCACTCAGTGTGGAAAATCATGTTTCATTTTTAAGTTTCAAAAAAAAAAAAATAAAACCCAAACAAACATAAAACGCAGCATGGCACAGATTAAATCCATTCGAGACAACTAGGGGAAAAAAAAAAAAAAAAGACGTATGTGCAAGTCAATAGGAGGAGGGGAGTGGAAGGGGGAAAAGAAACTGTGACATATACAAACCCTTTAGTGTGCATAGCATAAGATTTTTTGGCTGGCACTCACATGATTTTATTCAAGGGCTGGGAAAGAACGATGATTAGTTAAAAGCTTCGGCAAAGTCTGGAGGGAGTGCTCTGAAGAGTTGGGAGCCGCACGGAGGTGACTGTAACTCCTCTAGCAATTTCAGACCATTCTTCTGTGGCTCAGGACAAAAGCCTTTTCTTTTCCCTCCGCGTTCAAAGAGACATTTGTCTTGAGATGTTGCAGCTGTGGGCCGTGGGACCGCCTGTTTGAAGATACCCCCTCGTAGACGCAAGGAGAGTCGACGCACTGCAAAGTGGTAGTATTTTCTCGTGTGTGGGTCCCCCCCCTCCTCCTCCCTCCCTCCTCCTCCACTGCCATGTGTGGTTTTTAATAAGAAGAAGAATGTGGAGGCAACATTTTCCAGGCAAGGGGAAATTTCCTGTTTCTTTTCTGCTTGTTTAATAAAGTGTGTAGCTGCCTGTAAAACCGTAGCTGCTTGGTGGTGAATGAGCGGTTCGGCCGATGGCCGGCATCGCTTCTCGATGCACTTTTATATACTGCAAGGGAACGTGTTTAACGCTCGCTTTTCCTTTTTTTTTTTCCTTTTTCCTTAATGCTGCGTGGCGTAGGCAACTGAGATTAATAAGAATTAGGCAAATGGCTTCTGCTTTTGTTTCGGTGAGATAGTACCAGCCGGCTCGCGGCCACACAAAGGCTGCCATTTAGCAGGGAGCACTCCCTAATTCTGCTGGCAGGGGTGCCATTGGAATCGGATACAAGTGGGTGGCAAAGGGGAGGAGCGGCAGGAGAGGACAAGCAGGCTTTGTGTATTAAAAATGAAACAAAAGCACTTTATGCGCCGGGCTGCGTGCAACAAGCGGCGCTGCCTGCAAGCCGGGGTGGAGTTTGAGTTCCCAGTGTGACTGCAAAAGCTTTCTTCTCCTTCTCCTTCTCTCTTTTTTTTGTTGTTTTGTTTTTTTTGTTTTTTTTTTTTCCATGAACCCTTCCTCCTCTCCCTCTCCCTTAAAAAGCTCTCCGCCGAAAACGCTGGCGAGAGTCCACGGGGAGCCAAAAACGCTGGGAAGAGGCGGATGGAGCAACCCTGGCGGCAACTTCGCGGCAACCTCGGGCTTCACGGGCAGCCAGGGGTGGCAGGGGAGCGGCCGAATTTGGGGCCACATGGCCAGGGGAGCGTGTCCCAGCCCTAGGAGGGGCTGAGCAGCCCCATGGACGGGCTCCCAAGGGGTTAACAGCCCCGTTGCCTTATCGCGAGGGAGCGCCCGGCTGCTTAATTACTTTCTGGTCCAGGCATACCTCGTTGTTAATGAAGCGGGCGCAGAGCGGGAGGAGAAGCGGGCAAGTTTCGCCTGGTTTTGCGGGGAGCACACACGGGAGAAGGTTGTGGGTAGGGCCGGGCGCCCCGCATGGGGGGATCCAGGCTGCAAACCTGTCGGTGGTCTTAATTAAAACGTGGTTTTGCCGTGCGTGGTGCGCTCCTTCTCGCAGCCATTCCCTTCCCAAACTTTCCCCGCCGAGCTGGAGCGAGCGGCCCCGGTGAGGAAGAGGAGCGAGGGCAGCCAAGGCACAGATGCTGCTTCAAAAAAGAAAAGCTGTGTGTGTCGGTCCACTTCCAGAGGAGCTCATGCAGAACAAGCCCCTTCTTTTGGGGGCTGGCACCACCACAGCACCTTGCCAGAGCATCACCTTCTCCCTTTTTTTTTTGGAATAATCTCAGCATGAGGCGGACAGGTGATGCTCCACGTCCTGGAGACCATTGCCTTTAGCAGGTGTTGAAGTCAGGGTTATCATTCACCTCCTTGTTAAGCAGAGAAAATAATCCAGCGGGGCGCAGCGCTTCGCTTCGGATTGTGTAAGCCCCCTGCGTGTTTTTATTCTCGCTGATCTGCTTACGGCGAGCTCCTCGCCCTTATCCAAACCCTCTCGGCGCTGCACCCTGCCCGCTGACACGGCTGCAGTCCCATCTGGCTGGAAGGCGCAAACACAACGCTCCCAGTGCGTGCTGCTGGGGAGCTCGCTAGGGAGGGCGGAGAGAGGGACCCGCTCCAAAAACATTCATGCATGACGCTGGAAATCTTCTCCCCTGGCTCTGCCGGGTGGGTCTGCTCTTTATTCTTACACTGGTTCGGTACAAGAGGAACGTGGGGCCGTGAAGCCCACCCCTCTGAACCCCTCTGTTCCTACAGGGTTGTTTTTTCCCCTCGTGGCTCCTTCCCACCCCGCGTGGCCCCAGGGCGATGCTCTTGGTGCTGGCACGCTCCAGAGGCTTCTCTTCACCAGCAGCAACCTGGACAAAAAAGCACACTTAATTTTCCCTTAAAAATAAATAATAATAATAATAATAGTAAAGCAGCAGCTCCATGCTGCTCTCATCACTTCCCTTCCCTCGCTCTCATGCCCGGGGCACGTGGGGCTGTGCCGGGGCTCAGCAGGAGGCTGCGGTGCTCCGCGGGGAGCCGAGCACCCCCAGCCCCTGGCAGCATCCCCAGAGGAGCCTCCCGCTCCCGGCCTCGTCCTCCCTCAGTCAAACAGCCCCACGTAGCGCCGCAGACAATAGCATTTGTTCTGCAGTGCTCCCTGGGAGACGTCCCACCCGCCCCAGAAACCCCAGCCCCGGACCAGAAACCCTTTTTGGATAATGACGGGTCTCCGGTTTCGGAAGGAGCAGCGAGGTTGTCTATAGGGGAAACAACTCCGTGGGTTCCCTGCCCAAACAACATCATAAACAATTTTACTGAAATGGGGTAAATTGGGACTTTGGTGGTGTGGCATGGAGGGAGAGCTACCTCGCCCCGATGCGCTCAAGTCATTTATTGCTTCTGCTGTGAAGGACGGCACGCCGAGGTACAACGTGGGCTTTTCACCTTTATGCTTAAAAAAAGAGAGTTTTTTGCCACTAGTCTGCAAAGTTTCTGTGTGTTTTGCTAAGGAGGGTGGTGCTGCGTGCGAGGGGTTTCCAATCTCAAGCCCTTGAGGCCAGGTCTGCTCACGCTGTGGCTGCAGAAATAAAACCCGTTGTGCCCAAAACTACTGCTTTTCCCCAAAACCGTGGCCGTTAGACAGTTGAGCTGTTCCTACAATCCTAATGTAACAAATGGCCTTCCTGAGCGGTAAAAGGAGGCCCAAAAATGTCAAAGTGACTTGTCCAAAAATGAACTTGTTAATCCCCGGCTGAGCAGTTAATAGGATACAGAGGTGGGGCTTCCTGCAGCCCTCGGTGATTATCATTCGGTTCCCAGCCTCAACGTGGAGTTGTAAAATGAGGAAAAAAAGCAGCACAGCTGAGCAGACACCTGAATATACATTTGCTCGTGGCAGCAGCCCACGGGGAGGCTTGGTAAGCACTGAGTGGGGTCTGCACTGGGTTTGTCCCCGTGTGTGGGGCTCCAGCTGCACGTCCCAGAGCATCCCATGGGATATAGGGATGGATGGGGTCGTTGGTGCCCTGCTCTTTTTGTGCTTTTGCACAGAAAAAAAAAAAATAAATGGTGTTTTGCTTAGTGGGAGTGTGTTCAGGCTTGTCTTTCTGAGCTGGTCAAAATGGTAAAGTCCTTAAAAAAAAACAGATCAGGTGTAAAATCTGCGCTCCTTCTGCCTGCAGGTATCCGCCCTCAGATCATGAACGGCCCCATGCACCCCCGGCCCCTGGTGGCACTGCTGGACGGCAGGGACTGCACGGTGGAGATGCCCATCCTGAAGGATCTGGCCACCGTGGCGTTCTGTGACGCACAATCAACTCAGGAGATCCACGAGAAGGTACCGGGGGGCCGGGCACGCTCCTCGTCCTGCCCCGTGCGCCTCTCGAGGACAAAACACGAGGCTGCGCCTCGAGAGGGTCAGCAGCCAGCATCGACGCAGGGCGCTGCAGATAAAATCTCAGCCGGGGGTTATTTTAGGAGCAAAAAGTCACCATATCTCTCAGCGTGGGATTTCTGACCTCATTACCATTAATATTTCTTGTAGTTTTTGAAGTCTGCTCGCTCGGTGCCGCAGCAGCACGCAGCGCCCTGCACCTCCCCTGCTGCTGGGGAGCTCAGCTCATGAAGTGCTCGTTCCCAAGTTATCTCTGTGCACGTGAGGTAGCTCCAGGGAGGTCTGAAGTGGTCAGAAATCAATTCCAGGAGCTGGGAAAGACAACCAGAAACAACCTCATTTATTCAGATATTACATTATGGGGTAAGGAGGACAGTTCTTTATGAGGCACCCAACGATCGATGAGCAACTCTTGGAGAATTTGGGTCTTGGGTTTCCAGAGGAAGCCGCACGTGTCCCCTGCGAGCGTCCTGGTGGCTCCTGACCTCTCCCTGCTTTGTTCCAGGTGTTAAACGAAGCCGTGGGGGCCATGATGTACCACACCATCACGCTGACCCGAGAGGACCTGGAGAAGTTCAAGGCCCTGCGGGTCATCGTCCGAATAGGCAGCGGCTACGACAACATCGACATCAAAGCGGCGGGGGAGCTCGGTAGGTCTCGGCTCTGCACCCCGGCTCCCTCCCACATCCCTCCCAGCGTTTCAGAGCAGCACCGGTGGCCCCCGGTCCCCCTGGGGGAGCGGTAACCAAAGGGAGGTTCAGGTGGGACCTCCCAAACGGGGTGGATTCGGCCCTGAAATGAAAGGTGCAGCTTAAATATTTTGCGTGTGGAGTGTGTTATGAGAAGAAAACATGACCATGACGCACACAAAATGCTGCAGTTTTAGAAGGAATCTGTTAGAGTCGTATCGTGCTGAAACTGCCCCACGTGAGGCCTCCGTTCCTGCGCTGCCTGGAGCTCCCCTTGCCCCTCGGACTCACTGGTATTGACATAGGGGAATTGATTTAGCTCTAGAAAAAGCAAAAGAAAGGTTTTTTATTAAATTTTGTCTAGCAAGCTTAGTCTCTTGATCCAGTCGGGTTCCTTGAGTCATGCCCCTACTGCTGGGAAGGCCTCGTGTGGGACAGGGACTGCGCCTTGGGTCTTGGCTGCTTCCCGTGCCACCTTCTCAAGGATGCCCCAGGAATGGGTAAAATGCAGTGCCGCATTGCTGGGGCCACCGACTTACAGACACCTAGTGATAAATATCTGTGATCCTAGCAGCTGTAACAACCTTTTTTTTGCTCATCCGATCCAAAGCTTCCGTCTATCCAGAAGCCCCACGATAGTGTTTAGGGTATCTTGTATTAAGGGTGATCTCTGGGGAAGTTCGGAATAACAGGCACTGCACGTGAGCCACTCTAGAAGGATAATGGCGATAAGAGTCTCAAACAGTCATTCCTAAAAAAGCAATTCTCAGCGCAGTGAATTATTCTTCTCCGGGAGGAGAACGGTGTCTTCTCGGTGTAATGGTTTCTCCCTGTTTTTAACTCTTATTGTTATTATCCATTATAACGGCGTTCCGAGGCTCTGAACATCAAGAAACGAAAAATACAGCGAATCAAATAATGGGATGCTGCGGTACAATCCTTCTTGTTACACTTAGCAAATTGGGTGACCAAATGATGCGGTTTAGAGCAGAGAATGTAATGACTGCCCACAAATGTAGCGTAAAGTTTAATTGGGATTGCTTCCCGTGAGGTGGCCCTCGAGCTGTGCAGGCAATGGATGACCCGTACCTACCTGCATGCGCTGGTGGCTGCTGCGGGGGAGACAGGAGAAATGCCCCCAGAACGGGCGTTCAGTGCCAGAATTGAACCATTTGCTCTCTTTATCTCTCTTTATCTCCTTTTTGGCTGAAAATGCCCCTTTTGTGGCAGGGGAACAAAAGCCCCCTTATGGAGCGTGGTGCCCGGGGGTGGCCGCGGTGCCGGGCTGGGAGAGCCGTGCCGGCACGGTCATCCCCTGGGAGGGACCTCCCAAAAGAGCCCCGGTGCCACGAGGAGGGTTTGCTCCTGTGCTGCTTGCCGGGAGCCATCAGGTGCTGCCACAGAAGTGTTGGCATCAGGGTCGAGGCCCTGCTGGTGCCAGTGGTGGTGACGGTCACCCCAAACCTTTCCACGGCACCTCGCGCCTCCATGGCCACGTTTCACCAATTCGTTTGTGAACCCTGGGGATGTCAGAGGCTTCGAACAGCCGTGGTTACTCAACTATTTTGGCTCTTTCTGGTTGAGCCAGAAAGCCTCGCCATGCCTGGAGCTGGCCCTGCAGTGCCGACAGGGCGCACCACCACGCCTGAGCGCTCCTCTCCCACTCGTTCCTAAATAACAGGATGGCTGAACAGCTCTTTTGTGGAACAGGGCTGACTCGGGCCAGCACGATTTAATTCGCCTTGAAGGTGGATTAAACTAACCGAGGATAAGGATTTAGTTTAAAATGTGATAAAAAGAATAAAAAACCAAGGTGTGGGGCTGCCCCTGAGACACGGCTGTGCCCTGCTCTGTGTCCCCCTGCAGGCATCGCCGTCTGCAACATCCCCTCGGCCGCTGTGGAGGAGACGGCCGACTCCACCGTGTGCCACGTCCTCAACCTCTACCGGCGCAACACGTGGCTGTACCAGGCGCTGCGGGAGGGCACGAGGGTGCAGAGCGTGGAGCAGATCCGCGAGGTGGCCTCCGGCGCCGCCCGCATCCGCGGGGAGACGCTCGGCCTCATCGGCTTCGGTAGGTGGGCAGGGTGGCTCCGCGGTGCTCTAGTGCCGTGGGAAGGGCTGGAGTTAAAGTTTTGGAGACCAGAAGCACTGGGGTGGAGTTGGTTAACGTAGGGGGAACACTTTCTGGTCATATTTGGGGAAGGGCTGTGCCTTGTAAGCCGTGGCTGAGCCCCTGGAGGGGTGTTGGGTGAGGGACCGGTTTGAGTCGCTGTCCCCAGAGCATGTGGGGGGATGTCCCTGTCCCCAGAGCATCATTTTGGGGATCAGGGGGTCTCCAGCAACACTACAACGTGGTGATGTGTGGGTTGCCTGCCCCAGCACCGCAGTCGTACTGTACCTGTACCAGCAAGAGGCTGGAAGACAAACCACCCCCAAACATTGCCTAAAAAAAAGAAAGAAAGAACTCTTCTCTTCCTTTTTTTGGCTTGTTTTGGTGGACAGAGCACCTCAGCGGGCTGCATTTCTTCCTGCAGTGCCCGAAGCAGGGCGGTGGCAGCCGGGGCTGGCTCAGTGAGCTCTCTCCTTCCCTCGCACACAGGTCGCACTGCCCAGGCGGTTGCAGTCCGAGCCAAGGCGTTTGGCTTCAACGTGATCTTTTACGACCCGTACCTGCAGGATGGCATCGAGAGGTCCCTGGGGGTGCAGCGAGTCTACACGCTCCAGGACCTGCTCTACCAGAGCGACTGCGTCTCCTTGCACTGCAACCTGAACGAACACAACCACCACCTGATCAACGACTTCACGATCAAGCAGGTAACGAAGGCGGGCACAAAACACGCGCTGGTGCTGGGTTTCTGCGCCCCCCAGCCCGTGGGCTACCCAAAAAACTGCTGCTGTCCCCGTGTCCCGTGGGGTTTATGGGGTGCAGCACGTTCCCTGGCTCCGTGGCTGCGGGATCGGGTGGGGTTTGCTGCCACCAGCCCGCGCTGGCCTTGCCACCAAACCCCTGTGCCCCATGGTGGGGCCGTGCCTGCAGCCCCAGGGGTTTTGCAGGAGCAGGGCATGAGGGCACAGCCCCGGGGTGCCCCCCAGGGCAGGACCAAAGCACTGTCCACGGCACAAAGTTCTCACTGCTCTCTCTCCCGGTGCCGCCAGATGCGGCAGGGCGCGTTCCTGGTGAACACAGCACGTGGGGGGCTGGTGGACGAGAAGGCCTTAACTCAAGCCCTGAAGGAGGGACGGATACGAGGGGCTGCGCTCGACGTGCACGAGTCAGAACCGTTTAGGTAAGGCCCTTGTGGTGCCCCTGCCTTCCTTCCTTCCCTTCCTTCCTTCCCTTCCTTCCTTCCCTTCTTTCCTTCCCTTCCTTCCTCGCACCAGCTCCTCGCAGCATCCACGGGCTGTGGGCTGGCACAGTGAGGGATGTTTGGGGTTTCGGGGAGCTTGGAACAAGAAACGAGCTGCTGAGAGCAGAATTACTGCTCCGTGTCCTTGGGCACTTTCGCTCGCACGCTGCAGCTCCCTGCTCAGCGACAGCCAAGAAGGGGTTGGTTGTAAGGGGGTGCGGCTCCTCGGGATGGGGTAGTGCTGGTGGTGTCCTTGAGCTTCCCAAAACAATTTCTAATAAAAAGTGCTCCCCCAAAGAGATAACCCCACAAAATCCATCCCCCTCCGGTGGGTTCCCTCCAGCCCAGCAGCCACAGCACACGCAGAGGGGGGGCCTCAAACCTTTTTTCCACTCTTAACACCTTTCGTTCTCCTTTTTTATACACCGATTAATTTTTTCTTTCCCTCCCCTGCGCAGTTTTGCCCAAGGCCCCTTGAAAGATGCTCCGAACCTCATCTGCACCCCGCACACCGCCTGGTACAGCGAGCAGGCGTCGCTAGAGATGAGGGAAGCTGCCGCCACCGAAATCCGGCGCGCGATCACAGGTACCCGGCCCCGGGAGGAGCCCGAGGGGCACAGCTGTGTAGGACCCTGTGGGGTCCTACCCCTGAGTTTCTTCCCAGTGGGAGACTGAGAAAGCAAACTTTACTTTTTTTGCCATTTGGGCATGTTTCTGTTCCTTTTTGTGTGTGTGTTTTGGGTTTTTGATCAGTGGTGCACACGTGCAGCACGGCAGAGGCCGCCACCGTGACTGGGAGGACGAGGACAGCGGTGCAGGAGTCGCTGCCCCTTTCGGTGGCACTGACCCCAAAGCCCTGAGAAGCTGCTGTCGAAAGATGTGCAGGCCCTGTAAGGCTACATGCCAGCCATAAACCCCAAAGCAGTGAATCCATCGGCGTCCAAACCCTGCTTACAGAGCTTGCCCCAAGATGATGCCCACAATACTCCACATTTCTCTTGCCCTAAAATTTGTCCCATCATTAATGTGGGTGGCATAGCTCCACGCCTGGCTGGCCTGGCATTCTTTTCTCCTCCTTCACACCAACAAAAACAGTGGAATGGAAAAATTGGAGCTTCTTGTAGGGCGACGAAACCAGGACGGTCCTGATCCTTGCTTCTCTTCCGTCCCATTGCAGGGCGCATCCCAGAAAGCCTACGGAACTGCGTCAACAAGGAATTCTTTGTCACGACGGCGCCGTGGTCAGTAATAGATCAGCAAGCGATCCATCCAGAGCTCAATGGTGCCACATACAGGTAAGATGGAGAAAAGGACGGCCCCAGCCTGCCCGGCGCAGGGATTCCCCTGCGGGGGTACATTTTTTGGGGGGGGAAACCTTTCCCTGATGCTGCTGGTGGTGGGACGGCAGCCCCATGCGTGGCACCTGCACGAGTGCCAGGGCTCCCAGACCAAGCAAGACAACATAACACGCCAAAAAAAAACAACTGCAGCTTTGATCAGCTCTTCTGTCCGGGTTTGCTTGGTTAAATTTAAGGAAATCTGTGCCCATCTACTGCCAGGACACCAGAGGTTGCCCCAGCTCAGCGGGAACAAGCAGAGCTTTTCCAGAAAAGCACTGTCAGATCCCTGTGCTCTTAAAGCACATGGTTTGTGTTCAAACAGCCTTTAAATAACACTGAGACGAGGAAGTTCCCTTTCAGGGATTAAGATTTCGGTTCATTCAGCTCTTCTAATTTTAGTATTAAGCGTGTGGAGTTCAGGGAAACAATGCCATGTGGGCTGGGGCAACCTGACTGCATTGAAATACCTTGGGAATTAGTGGCAATATCCACTGTGCTGGCATCGTCCTCGGCTCCCCTCTGTCACTGGGGTATTTGGGGGTTGTCACAGGGATCTACAGAAACAAAACCCGTTCCCTCCCCTTTCAGAGCATGAAGTGCATCGGCTCAGCGAGTGATGCCTGCACCCAAACACGCCAGGGATTTGGTTGCAGCTTGCTCAGGGGTTAAAACCAACCCAAAGCAAACACAACCAAACACAAACCCTGGAAGTCTTCAAAAGACGTTTAGATGTAGAGCTTAGGGATATGGTTTAGTGGGGACTGTTAGTGTTAGGTCAGAGGTTGGACTCGATGATCTTGAGGTCTCTTCCAACCTAGAAATTCTGTGATTCTGTGAACCAGTGTTTGGTTGCAGCCTCTGCTTGCAAATCCCTGCTTCGGGCTACGGCACCACGCCTCCAGCCGTGCTGCTCGTGGGTAGCGCCGTGTAGGTGACAGTGCCAGCGTTTATTGCCACGATCGGTGATAGTTTTGCACAAAGGGAAGGATCAGGAAGCTGGGTCACACACATGAAATGAGAAATAGCAACGCTGACCCTGCCAATGCTGGCAGAAAGGTGGCACCTCTCTGTTCCCCTGCCCTCATTTGACTCTGCCGGGCTCGCTGGGTCATCGGGGCCGTGACAAACCCTGCCTCTCTGTGTCCCCCCACCAGGTACCCCCCCGGGATGGTGAGCGTCGCGCCGGGAGGCATCCCAGCAGCCATGGAGGGCATCATTCCCGGCGGCATCCCCGTCACCCACAACCTGCCCACCGTGGCGCACCCCTCGCAAGCTCCGTCGCCGAACCAGCCCACGAAACACGGGGACAACAGGGAACATCCCAACGAGCAATAGCAGCTAATTTAAAACAAAAACAAAAACAAAAAACCACTCAATAAACTTGGGACCAAGAGACATTGGAAAAGAAGTTATACACGGACTGAAAAAAAAAAACAAAACAAAACAAAAAAAGAATTTGATACGGAATTTGTAATGTTGATTTTGGACAGATGCATCATTGATGTTCCAGTGTTAAGGACCCAGCGCTGGCAGTCAAGCCTGGGGAGAAGCCCTGAAGAAGTCACCCGCTTCCTGCAGCGCTGAAACCTAGGACGTGAGACATTAATGATCGCCTTCTGTTATTGTGTGTTCAGTTTCCTTCATCTGTGCATCAATCACATGAAATAAAAATAGATTTTTTTCTCCCCTCGATTCCTTGGGAAGGGCAGGGCTTCTGCACCTGTCTCCAAACAATTGCAGCGAGCAATCCTTACCGAGTTAACATAGAAATTTAAGAGGAAACCATTATGTGGCTTCAGCCCTTTCCTTACTCTCGCACCCGCTCACCTCTCCTACCAGGAGGCAGCGATACCGGCTCAGGAGCAGAAGAAAAATAAGCTCGGATCCGTTTCGGGGTCCCCCGGGGCCGGCGACGCGTGCCCGAAGTTCTCCCGAGAGGCTCGAGCCGAGCTGCAGCCACCCCGGCTGGGAGGGCCCCAAAATCCCGAAAAAAAAACCCCAACGGCCAGGCTCTTCTCTGCCCCTACACTGAATAAAGTAGCTGTGCATCCGCCTACGCCCTGCAATGATGCAAGGAAAAAAAAAAAAAAAAAACATAAAAAAAATATATTAAAAAAAAAAAGAAGAAAGTATTATTACGTTTCACACACTATTTGTACTCAAATATATTTTCTCAGTTTGAAATCTGCAGCTATTTTATCAAGTGGAAAAGTCTTGAGCTGGAAAGGGTTCAAGAATAATGTTGCATTTCCTTATGTCTCAGGAAACACTTTTTATGGTAACTTGTCAGACTGTCTATGAACAAAACCCACTTTTTTAGACATGGATAAAAGTCTTCTTTTCTTCACGTGCTATTTTATACAAGAACACTTCAAAACGTGTTATTAGCTGTGACTGATTTTAACAAATCCTATTAGATTTGTATCAACTAGTTACATGTTATATTCATAGTCTTTTGTGAATCATCGCCTTTTTGTTTTTGCGATGGCCTATTTTGAGCCTTTGTATGGGTACATTCCTGTTTCTGTGACAAGAAAATCTGAAACTGTCCCAAACAGAAAAAGAAAAAAAAAAAAGAAGAAAAAGAAAAAAAAAGCAATGGCTATCAGATGTTTTGTTTTAGTGTGTTACCGTTCCTGTATTTGTTTATTGTAAAGGTGGACATTTAGCGTTCAGTGCAGTTTTCAATAAAAAGTGATAAAATTTCTATAATTTCTGGAAGGGAAGAGCTCTCGCTGCCGCTTCGCTGCTGCAGGACGTGCCTGCTGCGTTCCCAAAGCGCTGCCCCGACCGTGGGCAGCGGAAAAGAGGAGGGTTTTAGTGGAAAAGAGGAGGGTGTCCCCGTGCTACACAGGCAGCTACACCTCGCGCTCCTTTTTGTACCTCCTTGAGCTGTGAGGCGGTGATGAAGGGCTGAAGAGCGAAGCTGAAAGGTGCCCGGGTGGCTCCACGTCCACCCCGTCCTTCGCAGGGTGCCTGCAGGCAGGTGGGCTTGGAAAGGGACTGAGAAAAAAGCTGAAACCAAAAAGGCTCTCGGTTACAAAACTCTGTATTTTGATTTAAATTAAGCTGAAAACTAATTACCAGCTTCACACGCGTTAAAAAGGAGGTTGCGTGCCCGCTCGCAGAGCACGCCGCTGATTATCAACAAACCGAGGGCGAAACAGGTCGGGTGCAGAGGTCATGGGGAACACCACATGAAGGAAATGCCCAATTGATGTTAAGATTTGGAATTGTTTTAAAATAACCCTGCTCTGGTGCTTCCACTTACTTTTGAACAGCCAGCTCACAGGGGCAAGGATGTTCCTGGGGGCCAGGTCTCGGACCCGCAGCTCCACATGTGGCCGCTGCCAGCAGCGGGCTCGGCCCCAAAAGTCAAGGGACTTCAAAACCCCAGGGGCTGTGGGGTCTGTCTGTACCCAGCCTCAACGCCAGGGCAGCGTCTGCTGAAGGGCCACAAGCTGAGCAGGGGGAGAAGTCAAAGGTGCAGAGGGTCACAGACCAAGGGAAGCTCCCTAGGGACGGCTGGCAGCGTTAAGGTACCCCCCCGATGGGTTCACGTGCCCGTTGTGCAAACACCAAGAGGCACCAGGGGAAGGAAAAAGGGAAAAGTATCCCCAGGGAATAGGGAAAAGCAACGTGAGGAACCAGGCTGCAGGTTTCAATTGGGATGTTATTAGGCAAGGAAAGGGGAGACGAACAGTTGCTGCTGAAGATCTGCGCCCGGTACGCTGCTGACAGCCACGCTGGAGAAGGGCACGGAGGGAGCCTGGAGAAAGGGCAGAGGAGCTTCAAACAAGCAGCCTGAAGGTGACAAACACTCTAAATAAAGCCACACACAAAATAAAAAGGGTGAAGGGAAAAGGGAAAAGCAGCAAATAAAAGGTTTGTGGGTGTTTGGAGACTTTTCCTGTTAGCGGTGTAACCAACTGCTGGGGGTATTTGCCATGAGCCGTGCAGCAGAGCTCTGGAAGAACCCAGAATTGTTAAATTTTAATGTATTAAAAACCGAAGAGATACAGGGATTGTCACCGAGGAGTTCATAAATAAAACCAGGAAAATGAGCAGGCGTGAAGGAGTGACGAAACACCAAGTTGTGTGCTGGGCATGGGGAAAGTAACACCAGGAAACAAGGCTGTGTGCGCACCTGCTGCCCGGCTGCAAGGTGACATTTGCAAATTAATCTCCCATTTGTAAACCTCCAAGCATGCAAGTGAAGGAGAGCACCCATTAACGTACACTGACTACCGGGCTAGCACAAAGCCGGGGTTTGCATCTCTTTAATCTACAGGTACATGAGGTTTGGATTACTTTGATTTTGAAAAAAAAAAAAAAAAAAAAGAAACTTCACCAGATCCGAAGCGAGCTGGGAAGCTCGTTAACCTGAACATACCATGTTACAGCACATCAGAACAGAACAATAATGATTAAGAAAGCCAAGAGCTCTGGAGTACCAGGACTGTCCTCTCATACCAGAACCAGACAGACATCAGAGAGCACGGTGCATGCTTTTAGGGCAGCTGCAACTGCGTGGGGAACGGCCCCGTGCCACGGAAAGGTGGCGGTGGGGACGCCGGGCCCACGTCCAGCGGCAGGAGGTGAGGGAAGGCGTGCTGTGCGGCGTGGCTCAGGGTACTTTTCACATTAGTTGGTTATTCTCCCCATGTCACAAGGAAGCCTTGCTTCCCGAAACGGAACATTACTGCAAGAAGTGGAGGGTAACGCTTCGCACACCCCTTGAAGCAGCCTGCTGAAGGTAGGAGCTTATCTCAAATGCTGGGCCCTGGGGGAGCTGGGATGCGAGTTACAGCGAGCTTCTTTACCTGTCCTTCACCCTGAGCCCTGGCAGACTGCTCAGGCCACGTAAAATCCCATCCCAGCTCACCCAGTGCTCAGCTCCTCTGACAGCAAAGCTTTAGGTCATCAGCTCGACGAGGAATAAAAGGGTTTCGCTTGCAAGTTAAGAAAAAAAGGACAAAATAATACCAGTTTAGGAAGCGAACTCGAAACAGGACCGTATGCTTGTCAGAAAACCTCTTCGGTATCAGCAGCTTGCCTATTTAGTTCAGGTAAACCAGACGGCTATTGCAGCTAAACATGCACTCTTTTACCTGAAAGTTTGCGCATGCACCAACCAGAGGAGCTAAAATGGCCAAAAACGTGAAGACATTTCATAATAAACCTCCATGAAATCTGTGATGGGAAAATTGCTAAGTTAATACAGTACTTCATTATTTCTAGGCTTTTGGTGTCGTCACCAAGTTTCTGTAGGAGTTGTGCACATTTCAACACCAATCTAAGCAGCATTTGGAAGAAAAAAAAAAAGCAGCAAGTTCCTCCGGGTTTCCATAGCTCTCAACTACATAAAAATATGTGCTATGGGGCTTCGTTCCAAATTCTAATTAAAACAATTTCAGCTACTGCAAAAAATTCCTTATTCAACCACCACACCATCAAAAGTGCTTTTCAAGAAAACCTGAATTGCACTGTATATGTAAAAACTGGCATTAACCTTTAGTGTTTAAGTGAGATTTTTAGATAAACTTTATCCATTACAGGTTACATGGCTAAAGTTATCAAATATAATAAAATTTCTACTGGAGAATATACTCTGAACTTACAATCTTAGGAACTTACATAAGTATGGCCACATCAATCAACATGCAAGAAATTCCCAGGCTTACATACTGAGAAATATATAACAGTGCTTTTAAAAACAACTTTAGCATAGTTTCTTCTTCTCAATCAGATGTGATGACCAAGGAATAACCCTTTAAAAAGATGGTTTTTCATTTGCAGCAATGTTTAAGGTGATGAAAGAGTAAATGATGCGATGAGATATAGTTTGTATCACAGCAAGACAAAAGTTTGGACGATACAAAATTATCAATCAGGGCTGAGTCGTCAAATTTCACACAATTTGGTTTAGTATATGCTCACTGGAAAAAAAAATCCATATATTTTAGGTCACTTCTCTGAATAAATATTCTTAAGTATATCGAAGGGAATCTATTAACTATTAAAGGAAGAAAAAAGACAAAAAAAAACTTTTTCAGGAAGCAAATCATTTCACTCAATGAAAAATTTACCTTCTCTTCCAGTTTGTTTCATAGTGTTCAGATTTTATTTTGTGGGCACAGCAGTAACTGAAGCATTAGTAAATAACGAGTGTATTTCTGCTGATGACTTGCTGTGGGTATTTTGTGCAAACAAAAAAAACCTGACCATCTGACCTGGGCACTAGTGAGATTTCACATCAAAGGGCCTTTCACAGAAGGGTGTCAGAGTATCTAAAGGTGATGCAGAATCCCAAGTTCTACTGGGAGAGGATCTCAGAGGGAAGAGAAATCCATCTAACGTGTGTGCTTTCGTAAGTGCCCTTATTTGAAAAATTTCTTTGCAATAATTAAGATGCTGGTATACTTTTCCTATTACACAACCTCTTACACAACCACATGCGGTACATTTATAGACAGATTTACAATCAGAAAGAAAAAGTGTTTGTTTCTCCTGTCTTGATAATAAAATTAGCTGTTTTGTTTCTTTTTCTTTGTTTTTATACAAACTGTAGTCCAGCCCATTTAGTGCTCTCCACGCAGCAGATGAGCTTCTAGACTCTCCCCATGCTGGTTCGAGAAATCCTTTGCAGCATGTTGCTTCTAGAATTAGGTCGTTCCACCACGAACAGCTACAGCACAACCCTAACTCCAGGTCAGACGCTACGCGCTGGTGACTTCCCGCCCCCGTCCCACCCTCACTCGTCGTCGTCATCCTCGTCTTCCTCGCCGTCGGAAAGGGATGTGCACGGGCGGATCTGGCGGTAGCGATCGAGCCACTTCTCCACCATCTGGGTGACGAGAGGGTGGTTGCGCCGCCGAGAGCTCTTCTGCATCGCCACGAGGACCCCTCCTTCCGTCACGCAGCAGTCCAGCCACTCCCGCAGCAGCTTCTCCTGCTGCTCCTCGTTACCTATCTTTGGGGGAGAGAAGAGACGTTGAGAACGAGGCCTGAAACATGACCAGCGGCTCTGCAGCAGCCACCTGGGAGGTTTTGAACCACCTCTGTTAGGGAAGCAAGGTTTTTTTTTCCTCCATGCTAGCAGTACCAGCATACAACAAACACAACATCTCAGTCTCCACAAGTCAAACCAACGCACTCTGATTTTTCAACCAGGATTTGAAAGCTCTGGTAATGTTCTCCAGCTATTTTTCTGCTGAATTTTCCAAACAGGTATTTGCAATGTGTTTGTCCTACATTTCAATCAGTTGTGAGAAGCTAATTATTTACAGAAGGCACAAAGCGTAGGGATGACAAGCCCTACAAGAGCTTTCTGTTTACAAAGCAGCTTTCAGCAGCCTAGCAGTACTTGACACAGAGCACTTCCTCTTGTAAGACATTACTAAAACATAAAAGCATCCCTCCTTAAACTCTGAAGTTGATACTTTCTCTCCTTCTTTTACAGGACCACCTTTTGCAGTGACTTTGTGTTTCCATCCCTTCCCTCATGTAAGCACTTTACTGAGCTGGTTCCCTGTCATTACTGTGGCTATTAAAGAAGAAACAAGTTGTGTTTCATTAGGAACAAATATGTAGCCCGTGCTGTAAATACCTGCCAATGCTTCTGTTGCATTCATTAGAAAGCATTCAGCTGGCATTAGTGTCAGAATCCTTATTTCTAGGCCCTTTCAAGGTACACTTGCAGAGTGTATTTACATCCAGCTTACAGAACTATCAACAAACATCAAGGATGGGGGAAAAATATCTTCCCGAATCAGCCTGGATGATGGGAAGGGAGCAGAACAGCCTGTGTTCCCTGCAGTACTTGGGCTGCAAAACCACTGGAGCTGCAGAGCTTGCTGAGGCCACCAGCTGCAGGAACAGCTCTTACCTCCTGAGCAGAAAGGAAGTGAATGTGCAATAGTTTCCTCTCGCTGTCCACCAAGGGCAGAAAGGTAACGGTGACATCGTCATCAGTGTTGAGGTTAGCACCAGCACCTCGATTGCCATACCCGTCGTTCTCCATGGCAACCAGAGCGGAGAAATGGCCCCTCGTGTAGCCCAGAGCGATGGGACTCTTCCAGCAGAAACTCTGTTCCCACAACAAAGGCAAATACACACCTGCGGGGCAGAGCAAAGGGCAAGACTCAGAGCTATGGGAAGCATCTTCACGCACAGCTTTTGGCTAAATGGATTTATTTATTTATTACCAGAACAGTTCTACCACCTGCTTGCAAAGGCCTCTCATTGAAGGCATGTCCTGCACAAAGCAGGATTCAGCATCCAAGCACGTGGCCCATCCCCAAGACAATCGGGCTTCCCAGCAGCGTTGTGTAAATGGATTCAATCAGCCCGCAACCACCACGCGTGGAGTCTCCAGAAACAAGAGCTGACACTATTTTGCTCACGTGTGAAAAAAAATCACTCGTGTCACAGGCTTTAGGAGAAATTGCCGTTTTTCTCCCTACCCTTTTTAGCACTAAAGCCAGTAATTCGCTCGAGGTGCGGCAATAAACCCAGAATAAACCTCCTAACAAACCCAGAGCTCTTTTCTTCTAGGAACGTAAACAATTCTTGGTGTGTACTGCTGCAAGACAACTTGGGCAAAAGCATGCCTCACCTTGTGACAGTTTAAAAATAGCCGTGCACAAACTGAAGTGCACACGTAGCATAGCAACCTCCCGTACTACAGCTGCTGCCAGCGAGTCAGGAGCAGGCGCTGCGGCTCAGCAAGGCGCTCCGCTTCTCCTCCTGCATCCACGGACGGGGCAGGGCAGCAGGAAAATGGAAATCTGAGGCAGGGGGAGGCTTTGGAAGCTTGACACAAGTTTAGAACTCAATTTTGCTTTGCTACAACAAAAGTCAGTATGGGCTACACCAGTATTTGTCCCTTTCCCCCCCGTTCTTTAACCGGGGAGCAAGGGAAATCTAAAAAGAGTTGGAAAGACACAGAGCTGCACGAGATTTTATTACAAAAATCTGGATTTGAAGACAAATCCATAGAGCATCTTCTTAGGGTGACCACTCCTCTCTTTCTTCCCACCAGCTGCAAGGAGCTATCATCAGGTCCTACCCAGTCCAGCTCAGAAGTGGGACTGATCTGTTCACATCAGGATGTGCATTTATAAGAGGAAATGTGACAAATTGAGTCGGGAGGGTGAAGATTGACAGAAACGCCACAGAAAATGAAGAGCAGGGGCTAACACCTACCCTGGCAGCCATCCACGCAGGATTTGGTTTCCCAAACCTGAGCTGATGGTTTCGGTCACCTTTTCTCCTCTTTAATTTTAAAAGCTGTACGTTCACACCACTGAGTGCACGCGGCTAGACCAGGAGAATACATCAGGCTGGGTAAACAGATCTTTCGCTGCCCAAGCCTTAATATTTAAAGAAGCATTAACAGTCAGTGGCCATCCAGGTAACAGGTCTGACACTTACGGGATTCACAGCAGGCTCACAAAACCCTGAGCACGCCTCAAAGCTGCTGAGAAGGGGGCACTTGCTCAGCAGAGCTCACGAGCACAGCAGCAGCTTTGTACCATCCCAGAAGACCCGTCTCAGCAGCTCGTGCTACCCTGCGTGCAAGCGCTGCACAGCTACTGGGCTTCAGCTGTGCTGAGCATTTAATTAGCACACATTAACCACAAAAATGTGGTTGGACGGGGAGAGAAGCAACTTCAGGTCACTTGAGACAGGACTCCTGCGTTCACCTGTTGGTGTTGTGTGTCTGGACGGATAGATGCAGCTCGTGGCAGGCACACATCATTAATATTTGTCCGACTGAATTCCTGGAAACGGGCCTAGCACAAGGCTGCCCCGGGCACCCGGTTACCTCCTGGTTCACAGAGCGAGGGAACTATTTCAGCACGGTTAGGCTGAAGCACCTTCCTTGCCTCGATGCCCAATTACAAAATAAAACTGTTTTGCAAACCGTTCAGCCTTTAAGTTAAAGAAGCAACAAAAACCCGAAGTGTGATATCTGTATGACTGTTCTTCCCCAGACTATCCCTCTATCATCTCAAATCACAGATAACATGCAGCTATGAGTACCAAATTTCACGCTCTTCAAAGAATTTCACTTCCCCATTCCTCACGCAGGACACTTGGTTGCCACCCAGAACTTACAAACCCAACAGCTTCTCAGATCTTCTGAGGACTGCAGTCTCCAGGAAGCCTTCAGTAAGCAGTTATACTTGACTGTAACACCACAGCCCGGAATTCTTCTAATTATTATGGGTTTGCCACCTCTCTCAGCTTACTTTATGCTTAAATAATCAAAAGGGGCTTCTAGGATCTGCCTAATCTGGTACCTCCCACAACAGGCTGGCTGTAGAGCGTGTGAACAGAATCCCTTCCTTGTCAGCCTCTGGGGCATCCATGCCAGTGAGTGGCCACCTCCTTAATCAAGTACCAAAGAAGTTCAGCTTTATCATTTTCCACCCTTTTTTACTCTCTCTACCTTTCCTTGTAAACCCCTGCCTCTTGCTTTGAGGGCAACTCCTTTTCACTAAGGGCTGCTTCACAATTCACCTCCTACCGTGCTGCAGGACGACAAAGCACACCCTCCGTGCTGAAGAAACACCCAGCAAATACATTACTCCTGAGAAATTATGCTAAAACAAAGAATACAAACACCTTTTGCCTGCCTTCCTCCTGGGTTTATGCAGTACACCGGAGAGCATCCCTCCAGAAATGCTAAATACAATGTGAAGTGAACATTTACAGCTGCTGCTGCTACCACCACCAAGGAGAATTTCAGATTCAGAATTTCAGATTCCAGTTGTTGAGCCTCCCATGTCTTACAGCAGTACAAACCACACGACTTTTGGTAAGTTCGCACCAACCAGAGCACCTTAAATAAATTATAGGCTAAGAGCTTGCTACATGGAGGTCAAATGGCTTCTTTTACCCTGTGGTTCAAGGCAGCACATCCATCACAGAAGGAAAGGCTGAAAGTTTTGTGGGTTTTTTGTTTTTTAATGGCAAAAGAAAGCTTACATCAAATGCAACTCCACCCCCTGCCATCTAGTAGCTTGTGTCATTCTCCTTTCTACTGCCTTTATGTTTACAGTTTATAACTAAACATTTTTTAATATTAAATCTTAAAAAAAATATAAAGGCTTACCTTGAAAACGGGTATATCCTAATGTTTCTCCTCGGAAACTCTTAAAATATTTTACTCCATAAACTATAATTGGTCTTCTAAGAATATGTGCAAGTACAAAAATGTGTGTCTGCTCCAAACTTGCTCCAGGCTGCACCAAACATAAACAAAGAGAACATTTGAAAAGGAACTTACTCTCTCTACTTTGAAATTTGAAAAACATTCCCCAAATTGAGACAGAATGCTTTTAAGAGTGATCTGGTTTGACAAAAATTGAAGTAGAAGACTATTACATGTCAGTTACAGATAAGCAAAGAAACATTTCAGCCTGCAAAATAACTTAATCATCTGCAGTAATTCTTTGTCCCATCTCCCTGATTCAATCTAACATCTCATCCCACAGTTAGTAGTGAAGCTCTGCAAAATATTTAGTCTAAAAATAAATTCACTTGTTTGGGGAAAGGTTAGGGTAAATATCTTTTGACGATGGGAAAAGAGCACGTCCAAAACAAATGACAGGAAAATAGCAACAATAAAAAACCACGCACATATGCTTTAGAAGAGGAGCTAAGCTATTCCTGTACTTGGAAGCTTATTGAGATGTAATTCTCATTTTGGAGAGGTGGTGTAAATACCAAATTGCCAAATTCTCAATAGTTTAAGCTTACAGATTTACAGGTATGTTCCAGGAGATGCATGTTGCAAGAGGTAGGCTATTAAGCAGACCATTACGTACTAGTTTACTCTACAAACTTCATTTTGACACCAACATAACGCAACTTTTTCATACTGTACTGCCTAACAGTAAGATCAAAATAAATTATTTTTAAATGAAGTTTTCCCAACTTGGCTGGAAGAGCCTACTCAGTAAGAGTTTAAGATCACTGGCTTCAGAGGAATGTTTTTCTTTCGAAAAGAAAACCCTTATTCCTGAAGAGCACTCTCAGTTCTTAAAATTTCTTTTCAGACAGATTAAAATATCCTTTCCAATGGCAGGCAATGAAGAAGTTTTCTTACCTGGCTTGCAAGAGAGAGTATGAATGCCCAATCTTCCTGCCACTGTTCCTCACGCAACGAGAAATGTAAACCAAAGCTTTGGGAATACCACGATTCCCATTCTTTCCAGCGTGTATAGAACCTAAAACATGGGAGGAAGGCACAGAATGGTGAAGACAAAGATATGCACTCGTACAAAAATACATGCTGTATGTCTGACAGCAGCACTCAGCCCTTGTAACCCTTTATCCCAATTCTGTAACAAACAGGAAGAAAGACAGCATACATCAGGAAAACAGGTCTGTGGGTAGTTTTTTTTGTTTGTTTGTTTAAAATCTTCATGAGACTCCATTTGCTAATCCTCATTTAAGAAATCACTTGGGATCGTCATGCCTGCAGCAAACATGCTGTAATAGATGCAGGTTCCTAACAGGCTCCTGGCTAGTTTGATATGTCTTGTAATAGCTTTTTTGAAGTCTTATTTAGCCTTATTTATTTTTGAAGTGTTGACCTATGGCAAACAAACCAAGACGTTCCATCTCATGTAAGACAATTACTCACTGTTCTCACACAAACAATACAGGTATTCTCTTCTTTAACCAGCTCATGTGCCAATTCACTCCACAGTGCCAGCAGATCAACTTCAAAAAGACTATAGTTAAGAAGCAGAATCTGTTTTATGTCAGCTTTTGGAGTAAAGAGGAGGGTAATATTACATGGGAGAGATATAGAGCAGCATGGATTGAAATTAAAGAATTAGATAGCAGAAAATACAACCGATCCCATTTATACACTCTATGTCATAAGGTTTTAATTTCTGTTTTATTAAAAATAAGCACTTTATATGCTACTTCAGTCCCAGTGTTTTCTCTTTCTTAATCAACTACACAGAAAAATGACAACTGTATTAAAGAGCAGACACTGGCTTTTTAAATTTTAAACTCCATCCAACCACTGTAGTACCGAAAGACCCCAGCTTCACATTAAGAACAGGGGTTTAGCCAAGACTGTGAAGCCAACACAATTATCGTGAGGATATACTATCCTCACAATAATACACGTACAGGGCATCTTCTGGACTTACCTGGATCTGTTTCTATTCAAATGGGGCCCTCGGGCCCAAGCTGGAGCCCCGGGGGCTGCCCCTGGCCCCCAGCAGCACGTCTGTGCTGGGCGGGTGCTGCAGCCCTGGCACAGGCTGCCCAGAGAGGGGCTGGGGGCTCCTCCTGGAGAGCTTCAAACCCACCGGGACCTGGGGCTGGGCACCCTGCTCAGGAGGTTTAGGAACCCAGAAAGGAATTCTGGCTGAAGTCTGATGTATTTTCACCACCCAATGCCAGTTAATTCTTGAAGAATTTCCATCTAGAGGCAGATGAGTTCCTATCAAGGACACAGCTCTGCAGACGTGTGCTGCTTTTCCTAATGACAAACTAGTACAGAGCATTATGCAGGCTGAAGGTGAGCAACTGCATTCCAACAGCTATAAAGGTGCATATGAACCAGATGAAACACACCCCTGTGCTTTCAACATGAATAAATACTAAATTCAGAATAAAATGCAACCTCTGCCTAGACTATGAGCTGAAAAGCTTACCCAGACTTACTACACTGTAAATAACGAGTGTAATGTTTGACACGAGAGTAAGCCAACAACAGCTCACGTTAACATTTTGAAAGACTGGTTTAAAGCTCAGTAGTCTGCTGCATGCTTTTGCATACCATGCTTGTTTTTGTTACCATAAAGCACAAAATCTGACCTGTCATAAATTTCTGTTCTGGCCTTAGAAGAACTGCCTGTGAGGCCAGGCACATTCCTGTGTGGTCAAGATGCACATTCCACTATAAACAACTGCAAAGCAGTGACAGAGCCATTCGGAGACACGATCTCAAGAGAAGAGCAAAGCACCTCTGCACTGCATCCAGCCCTGGATGCTAATTCTGAGCATTTGGAGAAACAGCAAGTAGCTGGGGGCAGCACTCACAAAGGCTACTTACACGTATCCCTACAGCTAACCTTCTTTGACTTCCTAAGAAAGGGGACAGGCTCTCTCTAGCACGCTGGCTGATAGTTTCTGTCCTTAATGGTAAGAACAAAAAAAAAATTGACCTCCTCTGCCTTACGTTAGCCTTCACCAATATCCTGCCTTAGTCCCATTGCTCACTTGGTGTTGGTGCAGACCAGCTGGGTTCCAACTATGAAGGTTCTCCTTCCAGAGGCAAACCACAGTATTGGAGTAAAGAAGGTTGCCAGTGTAAAACACCACAAGTTAATTCGGAAAGATACATTAGTTCTACAGCCAAATGACAGCACTAGTGAAATGCCAACACTCGGTGCTTTACTGCCATTATTTGAGCAGACAGAACAGGAACAAAAAGAGCAGTACTGAATAAAGCTGTAACTGAGCAGATGGAAGGAAAACACTGAAAACTTTATATAGGAATTAAATGCTAACTTCTAACGATCTTCTGCAAACTGTCCACTGACAGCAACAACACACAGCATGTACATGATCTGCACTTAAAGTACATGGAAATTCCACTTCTAACTGCTGCTAGTGCACTCCTGACAAGCACACAGCGTGAAATATTTACTTTGTTTTACCTGCTACTTGCTGAAGATCACAAACCGTGACTGATGTCAGGACGCCCAAGTTTCCAGCGGTGTGTTTAAAACAAACTAGAGCTAGATTATGACGTGAATCACACTGATCCAACACCTTTGATCCACAGAGCCCAGAACAAATTTGCCTTTTTTTTTTTGTTGTTGGCATACTACAATCAGCTACTGTGCTATGTGGAAAGCTGTCCCAAGCTGGCATAAAAACTCACCAATGTGAGCAGTCGTGTAAACTGTCGTGAAGAGCTTTCCGCAGCACTGAATCTTTGTCGTAAATGCCCCAAGTAGCTTGTAGTACTGAATCCAGCAGGCAGTCCCCTGCAGTCCGATTCCAAAGTGCATATAACCTGCTGTCCAAGCGGGTGCCCAGTTCCAGCGACCAGTTAATGATGGGAGATTCCTCTTCTAGCTCTGCAATATGACAGCGTCTTAAAAATCTCGCTTGCTTTTGAAGTCTCTGAATCCAAACAGCACATTAATGGCATAATCTCACCGATTTACCCATTTACATGAATAAAACTAATTTTCCCTCATGCTACAAATGTAGATGAACTGCAGCAGCAAAAGGAACTTCCCTGGGCTATGTGCTGTCAGGAAAAGGAAAAAAAACATGCTAGCCTTAAAGAAACATCACATCAATTGCCTGAGGATTGCTACCAAAGAAGAAAACTGTTCAATTTTCTTTAAAGAGCACGTGACTTGAAGCTGTAAAGCTAACAAGCAAGCTAACAACAGAAGGACACACAATGAAATCCAAAGATGCATTATAAATAATTTCTAAGACTCCATTCTCGCTCTGCCTCTTATATAGAATGTGAACATTAAAATAATTTCAGGGTGGAGATTAACTTGAAAGCATCAAATCTGTATTGAAAACACAACTTCAGGCAAAAATGCCATACTTATACATGTACATTTTATTGAAGAGAAATATTCTCTACTGCCAAGCAAAGAGAAATTCTAGCCGTTCTCAAGAACATTTACCTTTCTGAACATCTCTATCAAGTACTTCATCAAATAACTTCTCTTGGACTGTGGGCGGTAAGTCTTCAATATCTGGAAAAATTGGAAAATAAAAAAGTCACTTAATGTTACCATAAAAGAGAAATGTTGCCAGTTGATGCTCAGGAGAATTTAACAGCTTTTGCCCTACCATCCCTAATGCCTTTTTGTAAAAACTCATCTTTCAGACCTGTCCTTTGCGATCACAGGCTTCACAGAGCACACTATTTTAGAATAGAGATCTCAGAGAGACCGTCACACCTCTTACACAGAAAGGATCGTCTCAGCACACGTGGAGTAAGAACAGATTTCTCTGAAGGCAAAAGTGAAGTAGGGAACCACGCTGACATGGAAAAAAAAAAAAGCATTTTCACCCCTACTGTATTTAGGACCGCTTCAATTCAGAGTAGCAGTTTTCCACCTTTCTGGAAGTCCTCCCCTGTCTGGTCTCACCCAGTGGTACTGTTTGCCAGAGGACTTGGTCTCATACAGAAGACCAACTTTCAGGCATTGCATGTAGGCATCAGCAAAATAGTTTAGATAACCCCAACAGTCTGCAGGCCACAGCTTGCAGGCTAGAAGACAAAAAATGAGAAAACTACAGAGCTGGGGCATGGGAAGTACCAGTGCTAGCAAGTGATCCAAGAGCCTTGCAAACAAAACCTGCAACTATACATCTGCATTAAAGAAAGGTGAAGTTGCATAATGGGAAAAACTTTTGTGATTCCTGTATCTTGTCAAACAATCATCACTATTACACCTGCTCAAATTCCAGCATGCTTCTTTTTACAGGGCAAAAATATAGATTACATACCTGCACATGCACACAGACATGCATAAGGGCCTCAATATTGTCTATTGTATGGAAAAGGTAAGGGGATAAAAATAAGACAGGTTTGCAACCACTTAGCCACAGGAGGTTCCAGACAGAATTCTTAATGCTACCGCTTTATAAAAAGGACAGATGAATCTAGTGATCCGTAGAATTTACATCTATCTATTTCTTACCTCCAGTAATACTTCTATTAAAGGAAAACAGCTAATGAAATTAAAAAAAAAAAAACAACAACAACTAATAATTATTGGTTTTGTTTGGTTTGTTAATGGGCAAGCAGTTGAAAAGCATTCTCTTGATATCAGAGTACCTCCAAGTACTCAAAAAGTGTTACTGCTATAATCAGTACATATCTAAGTGGCAGCTCTGGGCCTTACAGGAAAGGACTGAAAACTAACATAGTTAGGGGAAAAATCCTATGAGAGCCCAGAAACATCTGAGCTCCCATCTTTACACAGCCTTTCCCTACATGACTCAACTTTTCTTCCATTTCCTCATGTCTAAAGAGAATAACAACTTCACAAGAATGATGTACGGAAATCAAAATACACGTCCAAAACAACTCTCAACTAGCTTACAGGAACAAATCAAACAGCCAAAAAACCCAACCACCCAGCAGCAAGAATTTCACAGCTACCTGCAGGTAACGTAAACGTCACAAGGTCAGTCAGAAAATAGCAAGCGAAGTCTCCCTTCCGCTGATGAAGAGACGCAGCGATTTCACGACGAATTTGTTCTGTGACCTCTGGACACACCATGGCAGGAATGCACTTCGCTGCATGCTGTGACACCTGGAACACAACAGTTACTGCACTCAGGTTGTTTCTAGTTAGGTGCGAAGACTTGGAGTCATCTCCATCAAGGAAAAGTATTTTTTTTTTAGTAAGTGCTGCAATGAAGTTATAAAAAATTATACTCTGAAGGATACAATGCACAGTTACTCTCAATTAATTAATGTCTCACTTAGAACGTACCTGATAGCAGAACTGGCTAAAAATCTCTTTAAATCAAAGAACTGAATTAACAGATGACCTCTTCCAGTAGAAATAAGAAAGCGAGAAAAGCAACAGATAATAAATGTACCTCAAAATCTATACGTGAGCCCTGACTACATTTAACATTACAATTCATTACCATAGCACAGACAGTTTCCTACTGAGAAGCTTCCCAAAAGTTATTAGTGTAAGACACCTTTATCTGGATTCTACCTAGAGGCAGAAGGAACTCATACAGTGATACAGGGCAAGTGACATCAGGGTCACACTGGGTATTTAAACAAATCTTTAGAAGATATTTTCTCTAATGAAGACCCTAGCAAAGGAAGGTATCACTATGGCTCAAGTAGTGCCAGACATTTTCAGATTCTTAAGTATTTCTAAGAACTGATAATCTTAGAAGTTTTTCTGTTTGTTTTTGTTTTTCAGCAAATTAACTTTATCCACGCAGAAAACTATGTGAGCTGCACAAAAAGTCCTGGTATTAGTCAGATGTAAGTATGTGCCCGTCAAGACTTTAGGTCCATTTGTCTTGCTTCATCTGCTCTGTTTAATTACTCAACTCTACACATTCCACCATCCTCATGCCCTTCTTCTGAGGCAGGCTGCTTTCCTCATGAACACATGCTTCAGAATTGCATTACGCATCAAAACAGGGAGGGCAGCAGGCAGAATAAAGGAGGAGCAACAGCAGAATAAAGTTTTTGTCTTTGATCAGGTGAGAAACTAAGTCAGAGAATGAAGAAAACCAAGAAACAGAACAATAGCTGTGGGCCTCCTACGAGGGAAAGGTGGACCATGGGCTAAGATCACCAGAAGGAAGGTGCTCCAGAGGGAAAAAAAAAACACAAGGAACTGGAACATGCCAGAGCAAGGAGGCAAAGGAACCAACTAGTCTAGGCAGCAGGGAAGAGTGGAAAAATGGAGTAATTTTGCAAAGCAAGGTATTTGCTCCCAGGAATCCCACGGAGGAAAGAAAGGAGCACTTCATTGCCAGGTAGACTTATTCATTAACAAAACTCAGAAAAAATTAGGCTGCCATTGATCTCAGAGCTCTGCCTTCGGGGCATTTCCTCTCCCCCACCCAAGGCACAGGAAGCCACACAATAGCTAGCAGCTTCCACGCCGGTGAGGTCAGGACACGTGCCACGACTGCACCTTTTAATAGGCGAGCTGAGCAGTCCTCGAGACCACCAGATCCAGACAGTTTTTAAGTAAAATTGCTTCTCAGGGAGAAACATCCAAGAGCAAAAAGGCGCAAGGCAGCAGCTCACATCCTCAAACAACGGCAGCGTCTATCTGCTGGCACATCACGTTCCATGTCCCTGGCTGCACACAATGGCCCCGTTACACCAGGTTCCCATTTGCTCTGTGCAGCAGCCCACGTAACTCACCTCCGTGAGCAGGATGGCGAGCATGTCCTGTCTCTGGAAGCGGATCGCCAGGTGCACGAGCGTGTACCCCACGTCAAAAGCCGAGGGACGATTCAGCAGGCGTACTTCATCTGCGGTAAGCTGGCGGGCAATGTCTCCTCCTGACGACTTGTAAGCTTCCACAGCAGCTAAATCACCTTCTACCACTCCTGGAGGGAGAGTAAATAATTGGAAATCAATTTGTTGTAGAGAACAAACGGGCTGCTCTGGATCAAGCCCTTATGTAATAGTTTGCTTCTACATAGTCTAATGCAGACCTAACACACAAAAATCAATTGAATATCAAGAAACTTGCAAATGATCTTTTTTTCCAAAGGGAAACGAGAAAAAAAGTATCTATATTTAAACTTACCTTGCCTTCTAGGCTCTCTCTACTACCTAAAATAGTTGGGAGATATGGCTATCAAGAGGTGCTAAGGACCCTTGTGCCAGGAAGCAGCTAGCAGAACACACTCGCTATCGTTTCATTTGATCAACAGCACTGACAGAAGGTCGTTCATTCCTAGTACAGAGGTTACTTTATTGTATCTTCCCCTGTTCACTTATCTTAAAAACAAACCAATAGATCTAAGAAGTCAAACACTTAATGTGGTTTTTGAAATAAGCCTTTCTTCCCCCCTTCCAAGTATGGTTTAGGATAGCATTGTAAGAGGACACAGTACACATTTCTCTTCAGCTCATGGTAACTTACAGCTACCATTCAGTTCTTCCCTTTGAGAGTAATGATATAAAGAATAATTCAATAGAGAATTAAAGATAAACCACACCCACAGACACACAATGTGGTAGTTTCTAAAGCAAGATAATGAAAAAGCCCCAAAATTTTCTACAGGCAATCTAACTCATGTGCCACATTCATATCAAGACCATTCATGCTGAACGCATTCCTTAGCTGCAATTATCAGGATCCATCATCTACAAGGTGTGGTGGAATCGTCTCTAACAGCATCAACTCCAGTATCAGACTTTATAGTTGAGGGATTTTGAAATTAAGATCTTATTTTAGATAGCATTACGCTGTTTTCTTGTGGAGCACGAGCTGAAAGAAGCAGAACCTTGAAGCCATTTTTAATGAGAAAGAAACGGAGCACTTCTAACTCACCGTTACAGAACCCCAATTTGCAGCAGCTCACAAGCAGAAGAACACAGACCCCAAAACCAAGAAAACCCTCTCCCCATTTTCTGCAGCTACACCTCTGTGCCAGTTGGTCAGGTCAGCAGCAGGAGCTGGTATTTACCCACAGCCCATGGCACTGGAAGAGGCAACAAGTCTTTCCTTCACTCAACTTCACAAAGACTCAAAAATCCATCAGGAGGGAAGGGGGAAGTCTCAACCAGGGCACTCACTCCTGCTCAGGATTTTAAAGAATTCAACCAGCAGACAGAAAAGGAAAAGAAGTGCCCACTACCAGGGAAGAAGAACACTACCCACTGCATGGCTGCTTAGTCCAGGACTTGGCAAAGCGTTCTTCAGTTGACCAGCAAGTTCATCATTTAAACAATTTATAAATTAATACAATTAATATCAGTTGCAAGACAATTCTCTTCAAAGTTACCAGCCCTACTTACTGAGCCTCTACAGCTGGAAGTTAGATTACTCATTTCAAGGGCAGTCGAAAGCAACAAATCCAACCACAAGTTTCAGTCATGCATCTACCACCTTCCCAAGCACTCCGAGGTCCCATTGCTTGTCACTGAAAAGCACTGTCACAGGTTAATGTTTCAAGACCCTAAAAACAATTAGAGGACCACACCATGGGATATATATGACCAACACAATCGTGTTCCCATTACGTTTCCACTTCTGGGTGGACGTGAGGAATGCTCAGGGAGAAGGTTCGGGTCTGTCAGTGCACACTGCGTTCATCCCAAGGATGCCACCTGCAGCATTTCACTTCCACACAGATCTTGAAATCACAGTTTCTCACGACTTATTTTCTTAAGTGGAATTACACCGTGGCTTCGGCTCAAGATCACCAGTTAGCAAACAGACAAGGAACCACACGGAAAGAAGAATCCTGATGGAAGAGCAGACTCTCTGCTGCCTCATGACACCATTTGTGTTGTTCTATTGATTTAGGGACAACATCTTGCTAAAGCTTAGCAGTCACTTTGTACCCATATATTTTGAACACATCTAAATTAAAAGAATCAAACATCCCATGTGATCCCAAACGATTTTTTGGTGACAGATCAGACCCCAAAATTCCCAGCAGTTGCAGTGCACCAGGCTGCCAAGTACACACTGCAGCACAGCACACACTGAAAGCCCTCAGACAGTGCCCGGGCAATTTGTATTTGTCATTATTCCCCTTAAATTCCCCCGGAGAGCTGCTACAGCAGCTTCCTACCATCAGGCCTCAGCAGGGACTGATGCTGGGAGGCATCAGAGGTTTTGCAATGCCTTCAAGCACTCACTGCAAGCTGCAACAAGGCCCTAAATCCATGACATGTGCTGCACGCGGGACTGCCAGTTCCTGCAGTCTATTCCCAAGCCTTGCAGTACTTGGCATTCCCAGAAGTTCCTTCCATCTCCTAGAATTAATTACTGAAGTTATGTAAGTTTTCATTTGAAGAGCACGTTTCTAAATCTCACTGGTGGGATTTCAGCTAATGACAATACAGATGTGACAAATGGGCAAGCAACACATGCTTTCTAGACCTTATTTTTAAAATTGAGATTGTAGATGTGCTTTAGGGATGGGGTTGGCAACGCTGAGAGTTAAATAACAGTGAAGGTGCCCTAAAGGATGCATCAAGAGAGTGGTTACAGATCTGAAGGAGAGGGGACCTGCAAGCACCAGATCTGGTCAGCTTTTTTCTTTAACCCAAGCAGCCAAATAACTAAAGAAAGAAGTGGCAGCAGCTCCCTTTTACCACAAATCGATACAAACTTGCTTCTGGATGCACCATGAGGTGTGCCCTAGCTCTGCAGTAACAGAGTCCCAGCAGATGAACTCAAGGCACACAAAATCAAACCATACTGGGCTTGTTTTGCACACTCTGTCTCCTTATAAGAAGTTTGCAAACCTGCTGCGTGCTGTAATGCCTGGTGCTCATCTGCACCAAAATACTCCGAGCGTCGCTACAGCACTGCCTCTTCTGTGGTCACCACAAGCCTCTTCGGCCCAAATCTCTCTCTTCCTACCCAAATATCTCCCCCGTTTGAGCTCCTTCAAACGTGTTTTTGTTGACAAGGGGAGGCACATTCCTGGGGCTTTGATTCCTATCAGATGGATGGATGATAGCCTCCAATTCAATGCTTTATTTCAATACAGCTCAACAAAACGCTATTTACAAGCAACATTACAGCAGTGTTTACCGCTGCCATAATTCACTACGTTTCCTAAACCACGAGTGCCTGATTAGCTAAACAAGCAGCCTTTGAATCGTGTCCCGACACAGCCCGTGCCAGCTGGATGGCTCCCCGCGGACACCCACCGCATTCCTCGCGCCGGGGAAATGTCAGAGGAAGAGTGGCATTTGCCTCCAGATTGTTCACATTGCATCCCCCGTGCGCAGGGCTGCGGCTGGGGCACAGCTCGGATTGTTTACACCAGCTCCAGAGGGATCCTTACACCTCCGGGTACGCTCCTGAGCCACAGCAAGGGGAGTTTTTTCTTTAAGGTGCGTTCCAGAAGCGCGTTCCCTTGCACAACCCAAGGTTTTTTCTTCCACTAGTAAAGCCCAAGCTCTTGCAGACAGCTCAGACCTGGAACACACAACCTGTGTTCCCATAAGACAACAGCCCTTTTTCAAAAACCTTCTTAATCTCCCAGTTTAAAAAATATTAATTACCCACTAACGACTGTTTGCACAAGGCTGCTCCTGCTAGAACCGTTACAGCATCTCCATCAGATAGCAGCTGTTATCTCTGCTCGGGTTTAATAACCCCGTAATTAGGCTAGTTGCAAAAACTACAACTACTGCAGCTAGGACACTAGTACATTTATTCTTCAGAAAATGTAAATATTTGCAAGGTTTAGTGCAGCTAAGCAAACCTGGAAACACACGACAGCTTACAAGCTACCTACAAAGCCAAATCCTACTGGCCTTAATTGCACAGTCTCCATGATTTCAAAGCCACCAGGTGTAAAGCTCCCAAAGAAAACACCGTGAAGCAGCCTTGATTTACTTGGCCCTTTCTGGAGCACGCACTCTTGCACAGGCAGCTGAGAGGGACAAAACTGGGCAAAACTGGAACACGGGGGCAGGACGGGGAGCCACCAGCTCCTCCAACAGCCCCCAGGTTTAAATTCACAGGGAAAGACTGAAGGCAAGCAAGGACAGAGAATATTAACCCTCAATTCAACCACGTTTGCTGTCAGTTTCCTTACAGACACCGTGGGTCAGGCAGCAACGGGCTGCAGCAGGCTCCTGACCCCAAAAGCTGTAAAACACCGCCCCATAAGAGGCACACATGTGTGCACAACAGCGCAGGCACTCTCAGTCTTTGAAGAGGTTGGAACAGGATTAAGCTGAAATAAAATAAACCAACATAAAGACAAGGAATATCCCCAACATACCTGCTTGAATAAATACAGCTTTTCTGCTAAATTAATGGAAAAGCGTGAACAAGTCTTTGGGGTCAGATAAAATATCTGAACAACAACATGAAAATGGGAGCTTTTTGAATCAATGAACCCGTTGCATTTCTTAGTTCCTCAAGCTCTGCAACTCGCATCAACTTAAAAATAGGCCGCTTCCAAGAAGGCAGGTACCTCAGCCTGGATGCCAACCAGTGCCTGATGTTCTCCTTTCCATGCAAGCAGCCCCTGCACCTACACGTTACCCACACAGCGTGTCCCCAGCACGTTATCACAAGGCAGAGCAGAGCACACGTGAAGACCTGCTGGAGGAGCTCCCTGTGCCCTCTCCTGTCTGTCAGATGTCTCCAACCCCCAGCTGCACTGGCGGCTGATCACTTGCACAGTTGTACCCTAAACAGAGGCAGAACAGAGAAGTATGAATGATTTTTGAAGTTAGCTATTGGTTGTTTCCAGGGCAAATGACTATTCTTGATCATTGCTCAGGTATCTTTAGCATAAAACATCACTGAGCCTTTAAAAGAAAGAGTCAAGAGGCCAAAGGAAAAATTCCCTGCTGTGCTGGCCCTGGCTAATCACCTGTGGGTGACTGACTCACACTCACTTCCCCCAGACACATCAGGAGAGCCTGAAGTGACCCCAGGAAGGAGCAATGCACGGCCTTCCCTGCACTTGTTTCCACCCATACGCTTCCCACTCCCTCATTACGGCTCTGACAAACCCACAGCAGGGTTCAGGAGACGAGGAAACTGCTCCGGGTTTGCTAACCAGCAACCCAAGAACCACCCCTCACTGTAACAGCCCTCAGTCCAACTTAGCAAGCTTGCTTTGCATCAGCAGCACTGCTTTCCAGGCGCACTGCACCAAACACACACAGGAGGAGGACAGCAAGGAGCAGCTCAGAGCACCACCTGGGTGGCAGTGCCACCTGGGAGCAGGGACATCGGGCCCTCCAGGCTGCTCTCTCCTTCCCCACTAGGCTGGTGGATGCTTGGGTAAGACACCTGGCACTGCCTCTGAAAATATGAGAGAGGGACAGGAAAAAAATAAGAAAGTTGACAAAGGCAAAGCTAAGCAGGCACACGCTGGAATATCAGGAATGTGCACGCAGTCCTTTTAAGGATGCACGGCAAAACAAGATTCATTACGGATTGCTCCAAATATTTGGGGTTTGTTTAGGAAACATACTCCTCGTTGTTTCTCTCAGACACAGAGGAGGAATGCATGCCGCGTTGATTTTGGAGACGCCATCTGCAGCAGAAAGCCTGGCCCACGATGGAAGCTACCTTACTGACCTGAGCTGGGAAAGCAAAGCACTTCTGCAGCAGTTAATAAGCAGGAGCAGAGGAAAATGGAAAAGGAGAAGAAATACAGCTTACCCTCAACCTGTGAGCTACAGTTCAAGCTCAGGAGTTAACCACGTACCCCGAGAACCCCCAGAAGCGCCCTGCAGCACCCACACTCTGCCAGTGCCACTGCGAGAGGCCAGCCCTGAAGCACCACACCCCAAACTCTACAGGTACTGGGGCTGTGACCATCCTAATACAATTTTGCAACTGTGTTTGCCTAAAAACTGACAAGCATTCAGCTCAGCTCAAAATTCACAGCAGCTCCCCAGCTGGCTAGCAAACAATAAGTTATTAAGCCACAATAACTCAGTTGATTTGGCTGGTAAGAACATGTGCTTCAGGCCAAACTGTCCAAGCAAGATTCAAGTTGTTTTAAACACATCAGACCAAGACAACAAAACAACCAGCACGACTGTGGCTCGCTGCTCTTCGAATTACTGAGCTGGTACACCCCTCCCACACAGATGTGCTCTGCAAAGCATCCAGAGAGCCCAGCACGCAAGATGCTGCGAAGCTTTAAGTGGTCCTTCCTAAGGTAATTCCTGCTGCCAGCAAAGTGAAATTCTGAAATTAAGGACTCATTATTAACAGCTTTGGTTGCCTTTTTTTTTCCTTTTCTAACTTAAAGTAGAGTAAATTTAAGTTACAGAGAGGAATCCATGAACTCTTCCAGCAGAACAGTAGTGAGATTCAGCACACGCAGCTCCATCTGAACCACAGCTTTCTCACTAAGTTACCAGGACACCTCCGAGATACCTTCGAACTATTTTAATTTGAGGGGAACCAACTCACCCGTGCCTTACAGGATCTGTACAGTTTTAAATTTCACGTGCAAACTCATCAGCACAAGCAACTTTAAACACAGATAGGTTCACATTCTGAAACAGAAGATTACCACCATGCCCACATTAAGTCTGAAAAGGCAAGATATTTTCAGTAACACTGGAATATCAAAAAAAAAAAAATCACTATTGAAGAAGCAGAGGGGGAAAAAAGCCCTGATATGTAATACAACTGCTATTAGAATTCAAGAGAGATGCTTGGCAGCCACAGGAATGACCTCCACCAATTGATCTCGGGTATTTAGTAACTTCTAAAGTGTCACACAGAATTTCAGTTGCTTCATTTCAGAAGAAAAAGCCTCTGGGTGTCTGCTAACACGTCAGAAGCTTAAGGTACCAGGAAACCTCGCTATTTTCCCAAATGAAGTGTGTCTGAAGCTACTTAAGCAACCAAAAAAAAAACAAAAAGCTATGAAGTGACTTCTTGAAACCCTGCGGAACAGCACGAGCCATACCAGCAATGCTACAGTTTCAAATGAAGTGTTTTACACTAAAAATAGTGGCAGATTTCAAGTGTTTAATCTGCGTGTATGCTGGGGCAAGAGGTATCTGCTTCTGGGAAGTTACAGCACAAAAGTTAACTCACAAGGTCAATAACTGGAGAAAACCCTGCTCTCACATGTCTCTGCTCTTTAACAGCACTGGGAGAATTATCCAGAATCTCCTTAGGAACGCACTACAACATAAAACAAAATTGCATTTGAATTTTTTGAAGCAGTTGCCTAGAAAAATACTTTCAGAAAGCCTGTAAACATTTACACCACAGTATCTGTATTAACACAACATTATTACTGTCAAGGTCAGTATTACACATGCAGTTTCTTGGAGCTACATATTTTGGTGTTATTTTTAACATCTGACAGAGCATCTTGTACTGTTGTGAGCTCTACACTGTTTACAAATACTCCCAAGCTGCAGCTGCTGCTTCTACTAGCGTAGCTTGCAAAGAGAAGAGTGATTTCAAATACTCAGTAAAGGCTTTTTCCCTTTTTAAATACAATACTGTATGTACTACAGCGTTCTCTAGATTGGTTTTGTAGTTTTCTCTACTTTTGGACTACACAGCAGAACAACAGCATTTTGTTACGAGGATATTTATTCCAACAAAAGGGCAAAACCAGCCCACACATAGCTGCAAAACATCTAACCCTGCTCAGTTTATGGATGAGCTCTGCACCCTCCATTAGCAGGTGTTGTTTCAGGTTTACTCTTAAAAATTAAAAGGCAGATATTAACAAAACTGTTTCAAAACACAATGCCAAGTTTACTCTTAAAGCCTCCCTCTCCCCAAACACCCAACCGCTAGGCTAACAGCATAAGGTAGCAACGAACAACTTACCCACGCAAGCATTTAGAAACAGCCAGTCCGTCTTTTTCATTCTATTTTTTATTTGCTTTAGCTTTTTGAAGTCAACTTCAAGCTCTTCCTTGCTGCCAACAGCTCCAGCCAGTTCGATTCTTTGGAAGTCCATTTTCACGTCGGATTCGCGTTTGGTTGTAGGTGGAGATCTTCTTTGGCTATTCCCACTACTACAGCTCCCCCTCCACCGAGCTCTGTCTTGCTCGTTTATGATTGAAGAAGCTTCGTCGGTGTCTGCCAGTTCTATTGCTTCGATGTTGTTAGGTCTGGGATGATCACACACAACGCATTTCCTGGCCTTCGCCCAGTTTTCGTATGTACAAACAGAACAAGTCCAGTGCTGAGCCCTTGTGTTCAGTTTATTCCTGTCATTATACTCCTCACATGGGTCAACAGAAAAAGGAACCGGTCTTGAACCAGACCCTGAAGACTGAGGGGACTCCGTGGGACTCCTGGTCCTACGTTGAGACAAGCACTGAGTACATCTGATCGCTCTGGGCCAGTTCAAGTACGTGCACATGTGGCACGACCATTTATTTGCACTTTCCATACTGTACGATGATTTAACCCTCGGTCTTGCACTAGAATCTGGACATATCAAAGGGCTACTCCCTCCTTCGGTGCTTGTAGGGTCCCAGTCTCGACCAATATCACTCGAGCCACTTTTAAATGGATCTTCCGTGATAATTGTTCCACTAGGTCTCTGAGCACGACACATGGTGCATTTGATTGCAGATGGCCAATTTTCGTACGTACAATACTCACAAGCCCATTTAATTCCACGCTCTGTCATCGTGCACTTCTTGAAATGAACTGCGTCAGGCAGAAAGCTAAATGATCAGAATGCATCGTTAGTACCTAATTGCATACGAGCTCTGCTTCCAAAAAAAATCTCAAAAGATGAAGTGTAACCCACTTGATGTGGGCTGCACCAAGAAGTATGAAAGTTAAGCCGGGCGAGGGGACAACCTTGATCTTTTTGAGAGTATTAGGACGCTGTGTCGGGGCTGTGAGAAGGGCAAAACTTGAGCTAAATGACTAATGCTCAAGCCACTTAGATGCCAAATTTGGGATTTCCTACTGTGGGAAAGAAAATTCAGTCCCCTCATTTCAGGAATTTGTTAAGTTTGGACAGAGGCTTCCAGAAATATTCAGAAAAGAGATACTAAGCGTGGAGAATAGTGGAACAGAGGCCAGTAAGGCTACAGAAACAGGTCACAAGCATTAAACTACTGAAATAAAACTCGATATGAATGCAGCAATACAGGAAAAAATGACACAAAGGCTAAGATGGGTACAGCAAGTCGTCACAGGACTGGAAGGAAGAGTAGCAGACAGGCAGTTATACCAGTAAGCAGTTCTTTTGGATCAGCAAGCTGTAGGAGTTTACAAAAAAGGCACACACTTGACTTTTTTTAAACCATATGCTTAACCAAGACTAGGCCTTGATTCGACACCACTCACAGCAGATATGAGGTTAAAGGAACACTCACAAGCAAGCTCAAGCTGTGTGTGCTGAGCAGCCAACGCAGTGCTCCCATTCTACAATCCAGATTTCAACCCATTCCAACTCACTTTTTCTCTAATGAAGAGGAGAGTCCGTCTTCATGCTGGCTCAGACCTTTTCCTCAGATTGCCAAAGACGAAGGATGACACTAAGCAGATAACTATTCCTGTAAACAAAATGAAAACAGACTCATTATAGGTTTCCTCCTGGACCTGAGTAACCAGAAAGTTAATTATTAAATGCCACACCTACTCTGATCACAATTTACGTGTTTAAACTCAGCCATGGCCTGCTAATACTAACATACAGACCAGCTAAAATAAATCAATGTTTGAAAAGAACACGAGCAATCAGTTGATACGCTAAAGAACTCAACTGCAAGCAACATCAAAGTCACCCCAAAACATCCCTGAGCACTCAGTGGAAAATGAAACTGAGGATGGGAAGGAAAAAATTTTCAATTGTTGCCAGTTGGTATAGAGGTCAAATGAGGTAAAGACTAAGGCAGGCAGATAAGGGATAAGTAGAAAAAAAGTACATGGTCTATCTCCTCTTATTATAGCATTGTTTCTCGACACACAGCCCTCCTTTATATGTTATTATGGAGCACACAGAGCTGTTCAAAAAAAAAAAGAAAAAAGTTTGTCTCATCAGCTGACTGACAGCTCTCACGTTCATCACACCTGAAACTCTCTGGGTTAATAAAAACACCCAGACCAGAATCCAGCACCATCCAGTACCACAAAACCTTAGGAGAAGCTGCAAATCAGGATCAAATCCTGATCTGGACAGACTAAACCCCAGTTTACACTTTTCTCCCATTAGGAGATGCTTTACAAGCGAGCCCAGTCTTCACAGCGATGCCTTCCCCAACACCCTGACCTTAAATGGCCGCTCTGATTTATCAGCCTCAGGCCGTCATGGAAAGCCACACGGGTGCCCTTTTCCCCCCAACTGTTCTTCTCACTGCCTCCCTTCTGTGGATCCCAGCAGGCAGCAGTTTTTTCCAGCAGCTCAGCCCTGCTCTCTGCACCAGATCAGGTGGCATCGCGTGGCCAGGAGAGGACAGGCTGAGCCTTTTCTCAACCCATATTTCTGGCGCAGGAAGGCAGGTGAGCAGTCAGGAACCCACAGAGCTTTTTCCAGAAAGCTTGGGTTCTACCATGACTTGTTTGAGCTGCCTGCAGAGCACTCCCCTCCCACCCATACATTATAAAACTGTGTCAGGCTAGGGAATGTGCTGCGAAGGCAGCTTGGCTTCCTACTGCTTCCCCTCCGTGACTTGCTCGGAAAAATTCAGGCCCACTCTAAGAGGGGAAAAGAAAAATGAAAAAAGGAGGAGCAAGGTCATATTGGGGTCCCCATATCTGTACAAGGGTAAGAGTCATGTAACAAGAATATGAAGTCAATGCCTTAAAAGACTTCTCAGAAACTTGTACGAAAAAGAAATGTTTCTCTATTCTAGAAAAGAAATTAAGGCTTTGCCAAAGCAGTTCCAAGACGTGAGCATGCTTAATGACAGATTTACCTAATCCACTTGGTCAAGGGTTTCCCCACCACCACCATTCGTGGAACACACTTGTTAATGACTTTAACGTTTCTTAAGTAAGTTTATTGTCTGTATGAGCAACAAAGCTCAGAGACAGGAATGTTTTATGGTTCTAAAGACAGCTGAAGGCGCTTTTCAGAAATGAGTATGAAGCAGCATGCTGTCGGTGCACCTGCACTACAGCACTTCCATGCAGCAGTTTTTTGGGTTTCCATCTGGGCATGACCCCCAGCAGCACGCCCATGCCCAGACCACCAGAGCCATCGGATTTATTCCTGTTACTCATGGCCGGCAGTCACCACGCAGTTCCAACACTGGCACATTTTTTCAGAATTACTTCTTCACCACTCTGTCTTCAAGTCAACTCGCTGGTTTGGATCCTGCACGGAGGAGTTGAATCATGCAGCACCTCCTCTGGCAGAGAGGGAGCACAGCAGTGGCCGAGAGGTGCAGGTGCATGCCTTGATGTCCAAAAAGCACGAGCAGGCAAGAAATTAAAACCTGCGGAACTCCGAGCGAGTACCAATTGATCAGTATATAGGAAGCGTGCTAAATACACTCTGGACAGACTACTAGAATAGTTCAGTACATTAAAGAGGACAATATTAAATTATTAAATCAAATGGCAAACAAAAAAACTCACAACACTGACAGACTACCTTTTTATTAAATAAGGCCAGTCAGAAAAGGTCACTTTTAAGAAACAATCAGAAAATTTTGCTTTGTTTCAAGAACGCTCCTGTTTTGAGTGTATGGGAAAACACAAACTGGCATGCAGGAACTGGAAAAAAATGTCAAGTCTTAAAAACACATTAAGACAGGATGGACCTATATCTCCATGACATAAGTGAACTATTCATGGCATCCAGAAGTAAATTCTCCTCTGGCCCAGACAGGGACCGAAGCAGGACCCCGTGCCACAGATGACAGAGCCCCTGCCCACCAGCTGGCCCCATGAGCCCTGCCTGCACCACGGGCTCCTCACTGGGGTTCCCTTTCAGAGCCCAGCGCTGCTGGCAGAAGCCCTGTGTGACCGTACCAACAGATCAGTGCTCCCACCTGAGCTTGTTTTGCTCCTAGTGATGACTTCCAAAGAAAGCTAGCCTTGCTCTGCACTTACAGGTAAAACGCACCGAGCAGCCCCACGCCAACAGAGCTGCCGTTACACTCCTAAAAGCAAACCTGTGTTTATTTTGGTTTCAGAGCTCCGTGAAGCAACTTGTTTGGGAAACCACACACTCACACACACACCACTCCTCCAATCCAACGCCGAATCTAGTAACTCAACAGCTTACGAGTGCAGATGTAACACCTTCCACACATCAACCACAAGAAGGAGCGGGCAGAAGCAGGGCTGCAAGTCTAAGCAAGAGATCAAAGGGCACTTTCGCTGACAGGATTCTTCTGAAACGTGGCGTTTAAATGCAGGTCTGCTGAGAAAGAGCCTCACTCTGACAGCTGTCGTTGTTGACTAACAGCTGGATAATGTTGCAGTGAAGTTTGTACATAAATATGTGCTAACAGGGGATGGACAAAGCCCTCAGAAGAATTGCCTGTGATTAACACCGCACAGTCTGACACACTTACAGAAACACTCCCCCTTTTACGTCACTGCCTCAAGTTCTTTTTCAGTTACCTGTAAAAAAAAAAAAATTGTCATAGTTCCTAGAAAGCTGAAGTTGAGATCTTATCTGTGTATAAATCCGGTTAAAGCTGTCGAGGGCAAACATGCTAGAGCCAAATACCTGGGCCATCATCACACGTGGTTATGACAAAACGTGTCAGTCTGAACTCCAACAGCTGTGCCTGGCTTTGTCGTGTACAGCCACAGAGCACACCGAGGGGCACACGATGAATTTGAGCCAGCTGCTCACAAGGGGAAAGGAGCCGGTGGTTCTGACTTACAACAGGACATTTACAAACACTGCTGCTCCGTTGCGCACTCCAGCAGGGGAATCTTCTCAAAGCCCGCAGCAACCTGTACCAAAGGCCTCTTCAAACAAAAAAACTTGCCAATTTTTTTTAAATGCAGCCAGGAGGAAGGTCTGGAGGATTAAACACAGCTGTACATAAGCTTCAATCAGGAAGACAATTTGTTCCTTTTTCAAACATGTAAATTCACTGAAAAACTTCTCTACTATTTCTTGCATACAAGACATTCCACCTAGCTTTCTATTTGAAAGTTGACTTTTGTTACCTGGGTCCAAGAAGCCTTGTGAAACACCCCACTGTCCATGCACTTCAGAAAGAACACTCATCAATAAATCCCAAGTAACTTATTTCAACATATCAAAAATCATTTTTCACATGAAATTTGCCTTGGTTGATTTTTTGAGGTGGAATTTTGACAGTTTCTTCTCTTGCCTCACTACTTACACTTCTGCCCTGTTTTTCTCCTACCACCTTCAGCTGTTTGCTATTCTTGCACGACAGCTTTCTCAAGCATTCTGCTTGAAGCTCAACAGATCACTATATTAGAAAGCAAAAAACCTTTGAACCTGCCTGAGCTTCTATAGCTTAAAGGAAGAAACAATAGATGCCGTTGTAGTCCCTGCAAAATTACATTTAAAAAAAAAAATGACCTTGTCAACAGGCTAACCAAATGAGATCAGTATTGAAGCTGGAAGCTCAGCAATCAAGGCAATGACTATATATTATACCGAAGAACAAAAGAATTACTGAAAAGTCACAAATGCAGAAGCATTTTCTGTATCAGGCTGGATATGCTCGGAACAAGGACTGCAACAGGTAAGCATGGTTTGTTCTGGTTGTTAGGGCAGCTCTTTAAAAAAAAAGAAAGGACATTGTCCCAAACAGATCAGCTAAAGGGAAAAAAGAACACAGAACACGCAGTGGCCATCCATGGCACAGGCAGCAGGACCTGGCCTGCAGCTCCCCCAGCACGATGCCAGCCACAAAGCACGAGGCAAGGGCTCAGGCACACTGCTCCCATCCTCGTCCCCACGAGGGCACTGCTTTGGGAGCACACAGGGACAGCCCCGGCTCTCCAAGCACTGGAGCTACTCGGTTGCCCCCGGAGGAGGAGGAACGCTGCTGTCTTCAGAGGCATCAGCGAGTCAAAACGGGCACAAACCTCACTTCTGTTGAGCAACACCAAGTCCTCACCACTTAAGCGATGCCATCTGTAAAGCACATCAGTGGTGGGGAAAAAAAGAAAATGCCTGGGTTATAACTGAGTAACTATTTACAATTTAGCGTATTAAAACTCATTTTTCTTCAGTTTTTATAGACTATGCTGTCACCAAATATTCTGAACTGCAGACCTGAGCTATGACCTCAGCCTCACCCCTTTTCATCTACTCCTATAAGCACGCGGTTGCAATCCAGAAGACGTGACCTTATGCAAACAAACCTGCTACCAGAAACGCAGCTCTTTTGACCAAAACAAGTTCTAAAACGCTGTGACTTCATGAAAACGTTTAGGTCTGTTCACCAAGCGAATGCTGACAAGCTTCACTTACAGCTACATCAAAACGAAGGCAGTGTTTGGTTACAGATTCACATCTCCTTGCAAAACATCTTAAGTCTACTTTATCAGATGTTTACCCTATTCAGAAAAATCACTCCAACTTTGCTGTATCTTTTCAGTATTCTAG